AGGCAGCACAAAGGATTAAAGGGCTGTGGTGCATGACTTGTGAGAAGAGGCTGAGGGAACTGGGCTATTTAGTCAGCAAAGAGAAGTCTGGGAGGAGATTTAATAGCAGCCTTCAAATACCTGAAGGGCAGTTGCAAAGAGGATGGAGCTGGACTGTTTTCAGTGATGACAGATGATAAAACAAGGAGCAGTGGTCTCAAGTTGCAGCAATGGAAGTTTAGATTAGATATTAGGAAGAATTTTCTCACAAGGAGGGTAGTAAAACACTGGAAAAGGTTACCTAGAGAGGTGGTGGCAGCTCCATCCTTGGAGGTTTTTAAGACCCATGTAGGCAAGCTTTGGCTGGAATGATATTGCTGAGGGTGGACCACTTTTGAAGAGGGAGTTGGACTAGATGACCTCCTGGGTCTCTTTCACCCCCGTTTGTAATTCTATGATTCGTGAAGTGTTAGGGCCCAAAACTGGACACAGCACTTCAGGTGAGGCCTCACCAGTGCTGAATAGAGTGAAGGATCACTTCTCTTGATTGGCAAGTTATACTCCTCCTAATATAAGACTCCTCCTAAAGCTGTTTTTGTTGTTTTCCTCCCCCCTGCCCCCAACCTGCCCCAACAAATGCACACTTCTGGCTCGTATTTAGCTTCCGGTTCACAGTAACCCCCCAGGTCCTTCTCTGGGACACTGCAGTCACCTCCCAGGCTCTGTTTATGCATGCATTTTTTCCATCATAAGTGCAGAACTTTGCAGTTGTACTTGTTGAATTTCATCTGATTCATTACAGACTATTTATTAAAGTGATTTAATAACTTCACTACAGAGCATCTTCAGCTACATGAAACTGGTTGTCATGTGCAAGTGTGCCAAACATGCACTCAGTTCCATCCTTCAAATTGTTAATGAAGATGCAAAATAGCACTGGACCCCAGACAAACCTTTGGGGAATCTTATCCAACCTCCTCCCAAACTTTTTTAACCAAGGTATAATTAATTTGTGAAACTCATGGCTAGGTAATACCACTACAACACTCCCAGAGAGATTAGGTGTGTGTATAGCAAACAAAAATATTTGGATTTTGAAGAAAGATATAAACTTCATGCTTTCATGATGGCAGAGTAACCCAATTGGTCTGTATGCAGTAACCCATTGCTCTGTATGGTTTCCTGTACTTTGTTGTGAAAATTTTAGTCTTGAGCCCTGTCAGAGATAGGATGATGAACAAACTGGAGCCTGAGTCTGATACCCTCAGGCCATTCCTATGTTTGTGTGCTTGAGGGGATCTGGATTTCCATTTTGTAAAGAAAGTTCAACTTCAATAGTTTCTGAAGGAGTTTAGAGAGCAGCACAGCAGGTTTGCTTCTTGTTTTCCTGTCTCCTATTTTATGTCTACAGGCTCATGTCCCTTTGAGTCTTCTGGTAGCAGGAAAGTAGCAATAGGAACAAAAGATGTACGCAAAAACTAGCATTGTGCTACTTCCTGAGCTACAGATCAAAATACATTTCTTGTGGGATGCTGACTCCACAGTCAAAACTCCCACTGGGTACACAGTAATGCAACAAGAATCTGCCCAAATGAGCTCAACAACAACATTGCAAAAGTCTTTGGGCTTTTCTCAATACACTAACGTAAAAACCCATAAAAAATGACGGGCAAAAATAGGCTACTTGTTATAGGGTACCACGTTTCTGTTTTCCACAGTGTAATTACCAACTTGAGCTGTTCTGCCTAGTTTTCTTCTATACAACAGGCATCCATCAACATTTCCAAGTGTATCCCCTCTAAACTCCTTCAGATATTCCTTCAGACATTGATCATTTTCCATGCACAGTGCATTTGGATTCAATGAGTCATACATCTCGTCACAGTGATCTTTGCTCACCTTCATTCGGATGCATGTGTGACATGCGATGATAAATTTGTCCATGAACTCTAAAGCAGTAAGGACCTGGACCTCTCAAATTTGCTACTTGTGCTCCCACGGATGCAAAAGGCAATGGACTGTTATATGATCAAATGCTTATTTTAAGGTTCTGGTAATGCTTGTTGTTCTGATTTGTCATCAAATCCCTCAAATACTCTGGAAATGGTCTTCTAGAGTATTCTGGAGGCAGAATCACTTTACCCTTATGACAACAACTCTGGAATTGGCCATCTGCTGGTCTTTCAGCTTGGAAATGTAAAGTTAAGAAAACTGGCACGCTACGTTCATCAATCCACAGCTATGTTCCTCAGTCTCATCTTTAATTAATTTATTGTTGTCTACTCTGTCAGCAGCTAAGACTTTTGTTCAGCTCTCAAACAACAGCAAATCCAACCTCAAATTGCTGCCCAGTGTCACCAATGCTGTTTTTTGGGGCTCCCATGTGAACCTTATGGATGCAATAAAGAGGGAGACTAGGCAGTGAGACATGCATATGGGGCCCCATTTTCAAAGCTACTTGGCTCCAAAGTGCTAAACAAGGGCTGGATTGCAACAGCCCTTCCTGTGCTGAGCTCCTGTGGGAATCTGGCCCCATCTGTAGGAACAGAGCTGCTTTTGGTGGCGGGGCCCATCATGGTAAAACCACAAGCATTGTTGGGCCACTTCCTGACAGCAGATTGCCTTGTACTCCCTAACTCCAAAGGAATCTCTGCCTCTGAGCTTTAGGCTTTTTCTAGCTGTAGAAAACCCTGAATGAAACACTTCTCTCACTTCCCTCCATGGGCAACACTTTCTCTTCAGTTCTGTAACTCCAATACTCACATGCTATTTCTTTTCCAGCTTTGGGCCCTGATCAAACCCTTGGAAGAAGAGAAGAAGGTACGTGACATTGCAACAGGACTGTTATCACCGATTGGCAGTTACTCTAGAGCTGCCAAGGGTTTGACTAGCTAATAGGAGTAGTGAATAGCACACCTGAAACCATAGTCTTTTCAGAACCCAGAAGAGGTTCTCTCAGTCCAGATGGAGGCATTCCAGGAGAACATGAATCATGTGACTAAGTCCATATGACAAAGTGATCATCAAGACTAACCACACTTTATCATGCATCAGCAGATGCATGATGAACAGGTCCAGGGAAGTGATACTTTCCCTCTATGCGGCATTGGTCAGACTGCAGTTGGAGTACTGAGTCCAGTTTTGGGTGCCGTACTTCAAGAGGGATGTGGAGAATCTGGAGAGGGTTCAGAGGAGGTCACTCGTATGGTCAGAGGCCTGCAGGTAAGGCCCTACAAGGAGAGACTGAGGGACCTACATCTCTTCAGCCTTCACAAGAGAAAGCTGAGAGGTGATCTTGTGGATGCCCATAAATTCATCAGGGGAGGGCAGCAGGGAACAGGAGATGCTCTATTTACTAGGGCACTCCCTGGAGTAACTAGGAACAATGGCCACAAATTGACAGAGAGCAGATTTAGGGTGGATATTATAAAGAACTTCTTCATAGTAAGAGTTGCCAGAGTCTAGAATGGGCTTCCAAGAGAGGTGGTTCTCTCCCCTAACTTGGGAATCTTCAAGAGGAGACTAGACAAGCATCTAGCTGGGGTCATCCAACCCCAGCGCTCTTTCCTGCTCAGGCCAGGGGGTCGGACTTGATGACCTATTGAGGTCCCTTCCAACCCTAACATCTATGAATCTATCAATCTTTGTGAGAACATGAATCAGGCCCCCTCCACTTTCAGTAGATTCTCCAAAATTTCCGAACTCCCTGTTACATTCCTTCTTACTTTGTAGCCTAAGCAGGGGTCAGCAATGTATGTCCCGTGAGCTAGATATGGCCTGCTCAGGACCCACTACTGCTAGAGCTCCTTGTGTTGCAGCATGACTCCAGCCACCTGAGACCTTGTGCCACCTGTGCCACTTGTTGCAGCCCGGCCCAGCCTGGAAAGGGGCTGTGTGACTTCAGGCAGCACTGAGCCACTCAGGCTGTCACCCAGAGCCTGGAATTGCTTGCAGGGGGGCTACATGTTGCGTTGTGCTGGGCTGGGTCCTGCCTCTACAGACCTGGCCCAGCCCAACAGCACATGGGGCATGTGAAGGCAGGACCTGGGCTGGTGTGACACGATGTGTGGCCTGTACGAGTTGTACCAGGCCCTGGGTGAAAGCCTGAGTGGCCTGGTGCTATCCAAAGGTGCACAGCCCTGGGCTGGGCTGGGCTGGGCTGGGCCTGGGACAAGCAGCACAGACAGGACTGGGTCTGAGGAGGCCAGGGCCGTGCCACACTGCAGGGGGCTCTGGCAGCAGCAGGCCCTGAGCACCCAGTGGCCACTGCTGCTGTGGCAGGGGGAGCTGTGGACCCCGTGTGGGGGAGCTATGGGCCCTGTGGGGGTAGCAGTCTGTGAGCTGTGCAGGGGGGGCTGCTCCCTGTGGGGGGACAGGGGACCCACCCCTCCTGAACAGCCCCCCCACACCCACAGTTCCCCCACAAACCCCACATACCCAGCTACAAATCTCAAACCCTGCACAAGACCTATACCACTCCCGAAACCCCACACCCTGCATGGCCAGCTGGCCACATAGGATAGGATGGGACCTGCTGGTAGGAGTTGTGGCTGCAGGGGCAACTGTCACACTGCAACCCTGCCCTGTGCCCACACTGTGCTGGTTTATGTGGCCCCAGCCTTGTGGGGGGAGGGTCCTGGTCCCAGGAGCCACTTGTGGGGTGTGATGGGCTGTGGGGAGAGGTGGAGGTAGGAGCAGGGCTATGTGAGAAAGGGGTGCTGGGGTGGGAGGCGGGGTGCTCCAGATAGGAGAGGCCACCAGAGCCAGGCTTAGAGCCCCCCTATGCCCTAGAGCACTGTCCCAGGGACAGCATGGGGCAGGAAGCAGAACAGCAAGGGTTCTGGACAGGGTCAGTTTGCCCCAAGCAGTACAACTTGTCCCACACCAAAGTCCATGTTCAGGCACATATGCAGAGGCAAACATCTCTGGCACAAACTTGCCCTACTCGTATTTGAGCTGTTGCAAGCACATGTGCCTGCATGTGTGGATATGCCCAGAGAGTTCAAACCAACCATTTTACCTGCATCCTAAATCCAATGGGACTGCTGATATAAATGTAACCCTTCTGCCAGGCACCAGTCTGCAGCAACAAGGACGGGGTTCAATTTTGGGGTCTAAGTATATTTTACCTTGGCTTGAGCCCCACCCAGACCACCTGGCATACACTAAATAAATTACTCGGGTAATTACTCCCTGTGATGCTTTAGGGTGATTCTCACTTGTGCCTGGTGGCCTTGGTGGGTTAACTGTGGCTCCAGACCGCATGTTGCACCCTTACAGTCCTAGTCCCAATCCTTATACTGTACTGAAGCCTGAATAGCTGGGGTTCAGCCACACAGCTAGGCTGAAAGACCAGAGCTGCAGAAACAGGAGAAAAAAAGGCCCAGGCCTATGTCTGTGACCTGGACACCTGGTCTCAGCTGTAGCCCATGCTTCGAGGATACAATTTCAAGTCAGAGGGGGCCAGGCCCTTGTAGACAGCAACTGCCAGGACCCATTCCTGGGCAGTTTGCTTCAGAGATTAATACCCACATGGCATTAATCCATTTAATAAAAAAAGGTGGGGGGGGAAGAGGGAGGAAATAGGAATAGGAGTCTCAAACTCCAAAATAGACTTGTTCTCCCTCTACCTGAGGCTTTCCCCTTAAATAGTGTTTGCTTGCCTCTCCAGTGAAGATAGGGGGAGACCCCCCACTGGGAGCAGCTCCCAGCCCCAGGAGAAAGAGAGAGAGGACCTTAGTGAATGATTCTTATATACCTGGAGTGACATCACCCAAACCTTCTCCAACCTGGGAGGGACACAGTTTAGTCCTTCTCCCCACCAATCTTCCTGAAGGATCCTCTGCTTCCTCTGCCCAATGAGGCCAGAGGGTTCTAGATATTTGCCCCAGATCCAGGCCCCAGCTTGCCATGTGCTGGGCACATGGCCAAAACAACAGGGGCCATCTTACCCATATCAGAACACATGCACAAAAACACGATGCACAGCCCAGTGTACATGGGTGGGTGTTACAGAAAGAAGACGACAGGACTTCCAGCTAGTGGGTACCATTTATTCTTGTTAAAACAGCTTCACTGCAGCGTTAATTAAGAGTGTTATTTCCCCTGAACTTCTACCTCAGGATATCTAATGCTTCATGTCTCTAACCCAGGTTACAGGGAGAAGTACACTGAACACGTACAGGACAAGTACGGAGTAATAAAAGACAGGAACTCTCTTCTTGGTGAGAATGTAATTCTAAACAGCAGATACACCAAGCTGATTATTGTAGAGGAAACACGTGCCAGAAAGGAAAGAGAACATGAAATAATGGCCTCGGGACAGAGACATGCAGAAATCATGTCTGAGCAAAAGAGATCCATCACCATCGGTGACTTATTTGCAGCTGATGAAAAAGGGAAAACTCAACGAATCGTTGTGTTGCTGGGAGCTGCAGGGATTGGGAAAACACTGACAGCAAAAAAGATCATGTTTGACTGGGCGACTGGAAAGCTTTACAACGAGGCATTTGATTATGTTTTCTACATCAACTGTAGGGAAGTTAACTTTGACACTGAGCAGGGAAGTGTGGCAAATTTGATCCTAAGGAATTGCCCTGATCAACGTGCACCGATTGAAGCAATGTTGGTGAATCCAGAGAGACTCCTGTTCATAATCGATGGCTTTGATGAACTGAGGTTTTCCTTGGATCAGCCAGAAGAGAATCTGTGCTCTGATCCCTGGGAGAAGAAACCAATGGAAATCGTGCTGAGCAGTTTAGTCTGGAAAAAAGTCCTTGAGAAATGCTCCTTACTCATTACTACAAGACCAGCTGCTTTGGAGGAGCTCAGGCAGTGCTTGCACAATGAACGCTAAGTGCTTGCACAATGAGCGCTACGCTGAAATCCTGGGGTTTTCAGAAACCGAGAGGAGAGAATACTTTGACAAATATTTTGGGGATAAAGGGAAAGCAAGAAAAGCCTTTAATTTTGTAAAAAGAAATGAAATGCTCCTCACCATGTGCTTTGTCCCCGTTGTCTGTTGGATCGTCTGCACTGTCATCAAGCAGCAGATGCATGAAGGTGAAGATCTTGCACAGACTTCGACAACAGTCACAGGAGTGTACCTGCTCTACCTTTTCAATTTACTGAAGGACCCAAGAAGCAAGTCAAAGCAACTCCTGCAAACTAACTTGAAAGGACTTTGCTCCTTGGCTGCAGATGGGGTCTGCAGGCAGAAAATCCTGTTCGGGGCAGAGGAACTCCAGAAGCATGGCTTAGAAACAGGTGACTCCCTCTTTCTGAATGAGAACCTCTTTCAAAAAAGCACTGACTGTGAATGCCTCTACAGCTTCATCCACCTGTCTTTTCAAGAGTTTTTTGCAGCTCTGTTTTATGCTGTGAAAGAAGAAGCACATACGCAGAAGGGGAAAAAATTATTAGGAGGCACTGAGCGCACGCGTGCAAGTGAGTGCACTCAGCCCCTCCAAATCGGGCGTGGGACACAGCTGCAAGCAGCTCATCCGGGGAGCACAGGGAGGGGGAAGCAGCTCCTACCACTGCACGCACCCAGGGAGGGCATGGGGGGCGTGTGCCCCCAGATTTGCATGAGGGGAGGCAGGCTGCCGCTGCAGGCTGGGGCTAGGGCTGTGCTGGGCTCTTCCCAGCTGGCATTGGGCCAGGCTGCACTTGGGGCAGGTGGCTGCAGCGCTGGGAAGGGGGATCCAAGGGGCAAATTTTTGAGTAGCTGCAGCCCCCACCATAGCCCTGCTCCCAGTGCCACTGCTGCCCACCCCAGGCGGAGCCTAGCCCAGCTCCCGCCCAGCCGGGAAGAGCCCAACGCAGCCCCAGCCCGACGTAGCAGCCTGACTCCCCCAGCGCAGATCCAGGGGCACGTGTCCCCCATGCCTTCGGGGGTGCATGTAGCAGCAGGAGCCATGCCCCACCCCACGCCCCCCCGACAAGCTGCTCGCGGCTCTGTTAGCACCCCTGCTTCCGCCGCCTATGAAGAAGCAGCAGCAGTAGGCAAAGGCTCAGGAAATGACATGCAAGCTGTGACAACTTTGTTAGCCAACTATGGGAAATCTATGAATCATTTAATGCTAACAGTGAGATTTCTGTTTGGTCTCTTAAATGAAGAGAGAATGAAGGACGTTGAGAAAAAACTGAGCTGCAAAATTTCATTGAAAATTAAACCAGAATTACTGAAATGGTTTGAAGCAAAGCCCCAAACACCTGACTTGTCTCTGAAATCTCATTGGCAGAAGTCAGGTTTAGGAGCTCAGGTTAAAGCGTTTCATCAGCTTGAGGAATTTCACTGTTTGTATGAAATTCAAGAAGAAAATTTTGTGCAAAGTGCACTGAGTCATTTAAGAGCAGTGAATTTAAGTTCTCATGCATTTACCCAAATGGATCAAGAGGTACTTGCATTCTGTTTAAAAAACTGCCACAGATTAGATTCACTTCTTCTGCAATTTTGCGACTTCAGATATGAAGCCCCAGATGAAGATGTTTCAAGATCCCCAAAGCAGCCACCTCTGTGAGTATTACCTGGGCTTCAAAAATTGTTACACAATTTCTTAAGAAACTTAATTTAATCCCTGAAACATTGTCTTCCTCTCCCCCTTCTCTCCTCCCCACCCCAGATTTCATGAGCTTTAAAATGGTCCATTGTAAAAAATAACTGTAGTTAATGATTAAGGCTTCAAAAGGATGTGCTACTTCTGCCCAAAACCTGGGAAGCAGCATTTGGAGGAATAAGAAATTAATTGTTCTTCAAACTGTCAGTATATGTATGAAGTTTATCAAACTTGCTGTTTCACACAGGACCATGGGATGTGCTGGAGTGTCCATAACATCATTGCAGGGATATTGGAGGCAAAAAAGGCATGCACTGATCCCCCTCCCCCCACCCTTAAAAACAAATTACTTCAATAGCTAGAATATGCATGTGCTACTGAGTGATCAATATAATGCAGTATTGTCATATTTGTTTAGCATCTGCATCAGTGATTTGGATGAGGGTGTGGAGAGCACCCTCTCCAAGTTCACACATGATACCAAGTTATGGGGCAAAGTTAATACACCGGAGGCAGGGAGCAGATTCAGGCCGACTTGGACAGGTTAGATCAATGGGCAGAGAGAAATAGGATGCAATTAAACAAAGATAAATGTAAGGTACTCCACCTAGGAAGGAGGAATCCCCAGCACACCTACAGGTTGGGGGCTGTCCTTCTCAGCAGCTCAGAGGCTGAGAGAGATCTTGGAGTGATAGCTGACTCCAAGATGAACATGAGCCAGGAGTGTAACAAGGCCATCAACAAAGCCAATCGCACCTTGTCGTGTATTAGCAGATGCATGACCAACAGATCGAGGGAGGTGATGCTCCCCCTCTATGCAGCATTGGTCAGGCTGCAGTTGGAGTACTGTGTCCAGTTTTGGGTGCCGCACTTCAAGATACACAGAGGATCTGGAGAGGGTTCAGAGGAGGGCCACTTGCACGATTAGTGGTCTCTGTAAAAGACCCTACGAGGAAAGGTTGAGGGATCTGGATCTCTTCAGTCTTTACAAAAGAGCTGAGGAGTGACTTTGTAGCTGCCTACAAGTTTATCAGGGGAGGACAGCAGGGAATTGGGCATGCACTGTTTACCAGAGCACCCCAGGGAGTAACTAGGAATAACAGGTGCAAACTAGTGGAGAGTAGATTTAGGTTAGACATTAGGAAGACATTTTTTACAGTAAGGGTGGCCAGAATCTGGAATGGGCTTCCAAGAGAGGTGGTGCTGTCACCTAACTTGAAGATCTTCAGGAGGAGGCTTGACAATCACCTGGCTGGGGTCATCTGACTTTGGTCCTCTTTCCTGCCAGGGGCAGGAGGTCAGACTTGATGATCCATTGAGTCTCTTCCAACTCTATAATCTATGACTCTATGAAAACAGCTGTCTCTATGACAGACACAGCTTGTCAAACTGTTCCAACTGAGCTTAGTCCAAGGTAGTTTGTTTGTAGTAGGATATGGCCTAAATGTTCTCTTGCATGTGAATTTTCATTTCCACCTAGGAGAAATGTTACAATCTTTGCATTCTCCTATGCCTGAAGAAGCGTGTGTGTGCCTGAAAGCTTGAAAATAAAGATATTTTTGCAAATGTCTAGTTGGTCTAATAAAAGATATCACCTCTGTCACGAGTTCTGATTCCTCTTGCATGTGAATCTCTCTGGAAGTAGCTGTTATATCTTTATTGTTCTCCAGCAAATGGGAATTACATTTTAGATGTAAGGTCATTCTTATCAGTTATTAATGCAGCTAGTCTTGTTCTGGTGACAAAGAATCTGAAATGTTTCAGTTCAAGATAATGAACACACATGACAGAAATATTTGAATATATGCCTATTACCATGGCTGTGGGCTGCTATCACGGGAATGAACTCTATGATACTGAGCCTATGGACAGACATGTAAATTCTGCCGTTATTTCATAGATTCATAGATGTTAGGGTCGGAAGGGACCTCAATAGATCATCGAGTCCGACCCCCTGCATAGGCA